GGTTGTTTTGACCATAATTTTTTTCTTCAAATAGTGCAAATAATCTAATATAATAAAATGTCTTTAAAAATAACTAATTAACTGCCAATAAAGTTGAACAAGTTCTTAATAATGTAAACATTAAAGACAGTAAGTATTTACCAACATTTAAATCAGATTTTAAACCTTAAATAGTATTGAAATTTTTTATTAAAATGTAATTATTTAAAATAAAATATGTTATTATTATAAAAAAATATTTAAATTAGTATTTATAAGCTTAAATTTTCAAATTATTTGTTTTCAATTTAATAACTATCACAAACATTTTATTTGTTTTTTTTAACGCACATCAAACAAAATGAAGCTTTTGTATGTTTAAATTAGAAACTCTATCCGACTATACTAATAAATAATTAACTATCAATAATAAATATGGCAAGAAATAATAATTAACTATCAATAAAGCTGAACAAGTTCTTAATAATATAAACATTTAAGACAGTAAGTATTTACCAGCATTTAAATTAGAATTTGAACCTTAAATAGTATTAAAAATTTGTATTAAAATGTAATTATTTAAAATAAAATACGTCATTATTATAAAAAGTATTTAAATTAGTATTTATAATTTTAAATTTTCAAATTATTTGTTTTCAATTTAATAACTATCACAAACATTATTTTTTTTAACACACATCAAACAAAATAAAGGTTTTGCATGTTTAAATTACAAACTCTATCCGACTTTACTCATAAATATTTTATAAAAAGAAATATATCTTCACGAATTTTCATCCAACAATTACACATCATTGCCAACTATTTTAGCTAGAGACACACCCATACCTGTGTATACAGAGCAATGATTAGAGATTCGAACCATGATTGATAACAGAAAAGCACTGTGAACTGATTCAACGTTTTCATCTCTCCTGAGATCACTACCTAACATCTGTTAAGACCATGTTCTTGCTGTAATTACAAATCTCTTCACTACTTAATTGAATGGCATTAAGAGTTGAGTTGGGTGAATCATGTTTTGTTCGCACACTGAACTAAAGAAGAAAAGAAAAGAAGTCTAAATCACTAGAAGGCGGATTTTTATTGAATCACTCTTGTGGGCCATTAAATTTAAATAAACTGAAAAGAACCAAGTATTTAAAGTCACATAATTTGTTTGGAGTTAAACGTATCACGTTATTGACTGATTTTAAAGTCCGCATTTTAAATTAAATTATTGAGTTTAGTGAATTAACTGTTTATATTAAATGATAATCATCGGTATACAATCAATGTCAAATAGGGCGTTATGTATTTTATTTAAATTCAAAACGTAGATGGTAAGAATTGGTAAAAATAGTGAAATGATCACTATTAGTTTTAGTACATCGTTCTAAATGTGCGCAAAATGCTGATAATGAAAAATTATTCTACAATTTCAGAAAAAATTGTGTTAAGTTGTACCATAATATTTATTCCAGTATCATAATAACGCGTAAATTTGCTCCGATCTTAAAGTAAAGTTTTCCAGCAATAGCGCGTTGTGAACCATGGTGGTCATATAAGTTAAAGCTTCACAGTTTTGTAACCGACAGCATTTTGTGCAGCAAAGTTAATAAGGTGTAAAATTATTTCTTGTTTTATTCAAACAAGAATTAAGTTTAATTAAGTTTATCGTGTAATTGAGGTTAATTTTGCACGATAAAAATTTGCACGATAGTATGTTCAAGGAATTTTAGGTTAAATCTGCACGATAATATGGTCAAATTGGCACTTAATCGAAGCTAGGATTATTCTGAACGGTACTACGATTCAAGACAATTCGAAGTTCTGAGCAATGAAAATTATTTCATATACAATATAAATGATTTGAATTACACTATTTTTTAAATAATTTCACAGTTTGTACTTTGTCTCCATAGCGCAGCTTTTGCTCATATTTTTTTTAATCAGATATAAGGCATCTGTGTGTAGTTTTAATGGTTTCAAATGATCTTTTCACTGAACTTAATATTTTCTTATTTTTGCTGTAGCAATCTCTTACCATCATTGTAATTTTTGTCAATGATTTTAATATATAAAAAGATAGAAGAAAATTAACTTAATAGAAATTCTTAAGTTGTTGTGTCTGTCGATTTTCACCGTAAATATACTGAGTACACTGTAAAAAGTTCCGGATAACATTAAGGTATATTGTACCAGCACTTTGAGTGAATCATCCATAAAATCCATTATACTGAGTACACTGTAAAAAGTACCGGATAACATTAAGGTATATTGTACCAGCACTTTGGGTGAATCATCCATAAAATCCATTATACTGAGTACACTTTAAAAAGTTCCGGATAACATTAAGGTATATTGTACCAGCACTTTGGGTGAATCATCCATAAAATCCATTATACTGAGTACACTGTAAAAAGTTCCGGATAACATTAAGGTATATTGTACCGGCACTTTGGGTGAATCATCCATAAAATCCATTTTACCGTAAAATATATTTTTACCGTGTCGGCACTTAATACCGTAATTTGATCCGGAATCTTTTACAGTGTAATCTTCTGTTGGGGATAGGAAAACTCAACTATTTTCACAAAGCACGTGCATTACAAGTTTTTTAAATGCTGATTAAAATATTTTTTACAGCGACTAAATACATTTCATATGAATTGTTTGAGTGTGGAGAACACAAGTGATATTTTAAGAAATTTTGATGCATGTTCAACAACAATATCGTTCAAATTTACAGCAACCTTAACATACTACCAAGTTGAACAATATTTTAAGCTATTGTGCAAATATTATATCAAACTTAACTACCGAAAAATGTAGTTAAACTTGAAAGTGAATGTGTTTCAATTTAACACTTTCACTTGGAAAAAAAACTTACAAATAATGGTGCAGGTCACTAATTTCATAGTATAACATTAAAGTATTTTTTTTATCGGAGAGCTTTTGTAATAAGTTCGAGGTTTTCCTTTCCTTACATTAACAATTTACAGAGAAAGACAGTAGTGTAAATATAGCAACAACATATCCTAAATAGCAACTAAACATTTGATAGTGAATAACAAAAATAAAATCTAAAATAGCATTGAATATTAAATAAAGCCCAAAATATACTAAGCATTAACTAATAACAACATATTAGTAAAATAAGCAGCTAATTACATAATTTCTGATAGCCTTACTCACGTAATTTGTCTTTTTTTCGGAAAACATTACTTAGCAGTAATTATAAAGCGATATTTTTTGTAAAAAAAAGAAATTTAATTTAGGATATTAAAAATCCTTGTGTAATTAAGAAGAGATGTTATCTTTCGTGATGAATGCTTTCACTAGGTTTTAAAGATAATTTCTGAAGACTAATATAATGCTAACAAACTAATAAAGATACTCTTATGACGACAATTACATGGTGATAAGCAATGTAACAGCGTGTAACAATCAATTACTTCAAAAGATGAAACAGTGAGCAATCAATCATGCTTAGTGTGGTGGTGAATTGCTGATTGCAAAGCAGAGTAATTATCAGGTTAACGAAGGCACTGTTCTAGTTATCTATCATTACAAGCTTTGAAACTGATAGATTTGAAATAAGTCTTCATCCCTCCTTGTCTAGTATCAACACAACTATTTCATTGTTGATATGAGGTTAGATATAATTACACGCCTAACATCTAGATTATTTTAATGCATTCGCATGGAAAATAATTGCTTGATTATGCTTATTCTTTACTATTCTTTCATTATTATTTTTAATCTGATATTATTAAAAATGTTCTTATAATAATTACCATTTAACACTTTTTTGTCGAACCCCAAGCACTGAGATTCTTGCACGGTTAGAAAAAATGGAACAAGTAGAGTTTTACTACAACTGTAACGATATGATATCTTGGACATATTATTTAAGCTTGAAGTAAAACACAGTTCTATTTAGCACTTGATCAAGGTTGTTGTAAGCTTGAACAAGATTGAATCTATTTTCTGAAAGTGCACTTTAAACTACTTTTTTTCAATGAAGGAACCGTGCTTAAAGTTAGACTTTTACAAAATTTTTCCTGGATACACATTAAAGGGTTAAAAATATATTTTATAAGTACACTGTAAAAAAATTCCAGAAGACATTTTGGTAAAAATTTCCAGCACTCAGGGTGTCGGTACTTTTTACCGTAAACTTCATCTGTACCAGAACATGTTACGGAGCAAAAAATCTGTCGTACCGTAATTTTTATAGTACTAATTACAGTAAAATTCTTGAAACATTCTACTTAAATAAATATTACTGTAAAATTATTGTGCAATATCTTACGGCAAAAATAAATTTTTATTTAAAATTTATTTTACAGTAAAATGGATTTTATACGGATGATGCATCCAAAGTGCCGGTACTTTATACCGTTATTTAATCCGGAATTTTTCACCGTGTAGATATTGTTATTTTTGTTACTCAATACTTTAATGGATTACATTAAAAATGTATTACATTATTATTGTGGTAGTACATTATTATTGTGTTACATTATTATTGTGCCCGCTTCATTTGTATAACGGAAAATATTATAAAATTAAGCTTTTTGCTTTCTAAGAAATGTGCTATCTTCTGCATCGAATTTTTAAAATCAAATATGTATTATTTATTAAATTTATGTATCATATTAACTCCATTATACTTATATTTGTTTACTTATATTTGTATACTTATGTTGTGTCTTTATAAAAAATGTTTTTGAAATATGCAAAACAAGTATTTTTTTATAGAAATGTTCTAAACCTTTAACAGAATTTCTTATTTTCCCAGAAGTTTCATGATATTATCCAGGAAGCAAGTAAATGCATTTCTTTCATATACAAATTTGATAAGATTCTATAGATTCTATTCTTATTCGAGGAGTGTATGCTTTTTTGAAGTAGAGAATGTGCGGAATAACATGTGAAAGATGATCAGATATTTATGGAAACAAATATTTGCATTAGGATATTTTTCAAACTATTGAAAGAAATTTCCCTCAAATATGGGTAGGCTTCTGCAAAGAAAGTTTTTTGTTAAGAGAAAGAACTTTATAGAATTAGGTTTACGAAAAGATGGTTTTTGTGATAAAGATATAATTGATTTGTTTCAAACAATTTCAAATCTCTTCCGAGTTTATGAAAGTAATTTAACTAGTAACTGATTTATGCTTTTTTTTAAATGTATTCGCTGCCATAATCTTGAATTTTTATATTTATATAAAGTAAATTGCATGAAACAATATAAAATGAGCGAATCTTCCTCTATAACATGTCCCGCAGTGGACTAATCGTTAAGACACGGTTCCCAGCAGCTCACCGAAGTCAAGCATCACTGGCTGCGGTCAGTTTTAGGAGGGTGACTAAATGGATCTGTCTGCGTAGGGACCGAGGGTGTGGGGTATGGGTCCTAGTTAAACTGCTCTACCGTAAAGTGCTCGACTTCACGTGCAGGTCGTCGGGCTACCGCAGAGGATCGAAATTGTGATGGCATGTCTTCGGATCATCCTCAGGGATGTTTTCCCGACCGTCACAAATAGCCGATTGGACAGCTCTAGTGCGACGTAAATGAACTACAACAACAATATTCCTCTATAACGTTTGACCTAATTATCATATTTTCTCATTATAATGATTATAATAATAATGAAAACTATGGTTAAATCGAATAATAGTAAAGGCAACTGCATATTGCTCTTTTTTTAGAATAGGATAGTGAACGATATCTGAAGGTTGTAAAAAAAATACCAAAGAAATACAGGCGACAGCAGTGACTGAGGCTACCACCGTAGTGGCAGGTTTGAATTCCAGCGGTGGTTGTTTGATACGAATACCGCTCCCGGCTCGCATCGGTGCTGACGTAAAATATTCTCAGTTGTAGACGGATCATAGGTCAGAACCCCTTATGCCGTCGGACTTATTGTGGGAGGTTTCCAAGGCATTTTTTTCTCCGTGTAAATAAAATGCTGATTAGTCCTATCAAAAAGTCCCCAACGAAGTCCCAAAGCTTGATCCAGGAGTTCACTTGTCTTCTGGATGTTGCTCAAAATTTCAAAGGTTTCAAAGTTTCAAAGGCTCAAAATTTCTGTTGAGTAAAACGTTTATAGTCCAAAATTCAGATTTGGGCAGGGTGTTTAATGTCAGTTAAATATGATAAAGGTAAACTGCTAACTTACAAAGAATAAGTTTTTAATGTTAAAGTTAGTTAAATAAGAAAAATTTCGATCCCCATAGCAAAATACATATGCATAGAATCATGCAAAATGCGTATGATTATCAGATCATGACTAGGAACACCTGCGTAAGAATACGGAGAACATGGAATGGTTAGAGTTGCTATAATAGATAAACATTAAGGGATCACCTACTCTCCTTTGTTTATCACTATACATACATATAATATAATTAAATAAAACTAGAGCCACCTGAGAATGAATAAGAAGCCATTGAATGCACATGAATATATAGCAAAGCACATGATTATTTATGAGTAGCATTGCTGTTAAGAGATAAACATTAAAGAAACGCCTACTCGCTATTGTTTATTACTATATATACTATAAATTCTAATAAAATGAAACCAGAACCTCCTGGGTGAGAATGAAGATGTCATTAAAGGAATGAAAAGCAAAGAACATGAATAAGGATGAGTACCATTGCTGTTAAGAGCTTAATGCTAAGGGAACTCCAACTCCCAATTGTGGAGTACATTGCTATACATCTTATTATCAAATAAAATTTTGGTTCATGTGTTTAAGAATATAGATGCTATGGGAAGAATGGAAAGCAAAACAGAAGAAAGGATAGTGTTGTAGTCAATATATAGTGAGAGAACGCCTATCCTTGTTCTCGAAACCATTACAATATTATCAACAAATAAAGGCTTTTACCTCTGTGTAGGAATAAAAAGGTTACAGAAAGAATGGAATGCAAAACATACGAATAAGAATGAACAATGTTGTTGTTAAATGATAAAAATTTGAAAATCTCCTATTTGCAGAGTTTAATGCAAGATATATATTGTCAACAGATAAGGGCTATGACTACCCGTGTAGTGATAAAGAGGTAAAAGGATAACATAGCAATAAGAATGTTTAGTGGTGTTAAATTTGAACCATTAATAGAATACTTAATCCCGATCAGAGATGCAAATCTATACTTAGAAGAGGTAATTTGACAGTAAAAGAGACTTCCTTAACATTGCTAGATTGTTTCTTTCTGAAGTTAAATAGCAACATTTTCTCATGTTAGTTTCACATGTAACACAATACAATAAAATTAAATTTCATCATTACTCTGTAACATCTTCTTTTCAGTAATTTTTTTCTCCATATTTCTTTCTTAAAAATTACTTAAAACAACCACGTACTAGACTTGTTTCTCCCTTTATTTATTTATTTTTAATTCTTGAATAAACATTTTCTTCCTGCATTAAATTAATTTTAGGTTTTAAGTTCTACACAGTTTAGCGAAATTCTGTGATGGAAAATATTACTTGCATACTTTATTAAAAATTACGAGATTTAAGTTAGAGAAAAATAAATAGTTTTCATTTAATGATTTTTAAAGCTCCCGGAATCAATCCCTTCCCTTCATGAAACTAGTTGAATTCCTAATGCAAATTTTGAGATCGATAATTAAAATCTGCTTAGAAATTAAACTTTTAAATCACAATAGTTTGAAAAATTTCGGATAAACAACAAAGTAATAATTTGCGTATTTTGTTTTTTTTTAATGTTTGGGAAGTTTGTCAAGATTAGATGTCAGTTAGGATTAAAATTCTGTACCCTTTTTCTATTTTTCTCAGAACAAATATATCATTAGAAAAATAATAGTAATATTAATGTAGAAGTTGTTGTTGTGAACACAATGTTGAGTGACATTTATTTATAATTAACATCTTTATTGGTAATCAAGCATAAATGACAGTTTAAAATATTAAGAAATAAATGTTCAAAATTATTCAAATAAATTAAATATACGGAGAATTATTAATTTCAAATGCATAAGAGTTATTCAAAATGTAGTTAAAATAACAAACTATAAATAGTCAAGATGCATGATAATAAGTCAAAACTTGAGAACTGATTAACCACATTTGATCGCATAAATTGGATAAAGTAGATAGAAATTGAATTAAATTAATTGTTAATTTAATTAAATAAATGTCTTAAATTAAATGTTCCAACTATTTCCCAGAATGTTTATAGTTTCTAAAATTAAGTTTATTATTTCACAATATGAAAGTTAACTATAAATATAAAGATCAAATGAAAGAAAAAAAATGAAATGTGTGTGGTAAAATACAGTACAGATAAAGACCAAAGGTGAAGAATGGTTTATGTCCGTTTTTCACAAAAAGAGCAATTGGATCACCATGTGTTGCATTTTGAGGATTACTTTGATTGTTAATTTAATTAAATAAATTACATAAATTAAAAGTTCCAACTATTTCCGAGAATTTTCATAATTTCTGAAATTAAGCTTGTTATTCTACAATAAAAATGTTAGTTATAAATATAAAGATCAAATCAAAGAAGAAGAAAAAATAAAACGCCTGTGGTAAAATACTGTACAGATGAGGACCAAAGGTGAAGAATGATTTATGTCCGTTNATTACCCTGTAATTCATGCAACTAGAGATAAAACTTTGTATCATGGAAGTATTTATAGGATACGAATTTCAGGGAAAAAACGGTTCTTGTGTTACCCAATTTTAAAATTTTATATTTTCTCAACATCAAAAATTGTAGGTGCAGATTTCAAATGTTTGGGGAATATAAATTAATTCTTGTGAAAGTCATGCATATTTTTATCCGCTTGCTTCTAAGTAATTCCTAACCATTAAATTCGTTTTTTCTTCTTTTCAGAAATAGCTTTTATGGTTTTCCATCTTGATCTTCAGATGTTAAGTCTTGTACTAAAGCCTTTTTATTCAATAAAATTTAATTTTTTATTAAATAATTACGATAAGTAAAGATCAGTTGGAAGCAAAGCAATTTTGATAAATGTAAGAAAATATTCCTTTTATCAGTATTTTGAAGCATTTATGAATCTAAGTCGGGTAGCAGAACTTAATTCCGCCTCAAAACTTAAAACTGCTGCATGAACGAAAATTAAAGCTGTTTACTTACGTTGATTTTAATATACTTCATTTTGATAATTTTAATTTGTAGTGACTGAATTCTAGATTAAAAACTGATAGTATTTCTAAAATAAATTTGGACAAGTGTACATTTTGATAAGATGTACAGCTCTTTGAACCAGAATCTCTATGAAAGATATTTTTCTTACTATTCTTCTTATTTTGTATCAATTTAGGTCAAAATAATTGATAAATATTATGTTTATCATTTTATAATTTATGGTTATGGAATATAGCAAGAAACACCCGTGTCTTTTTCTGGGTTAAAGGTGAAATCTCCCAAACACGGCTCAGTTTCAAAAAATAATTTGTCAAATTTGCAATTATTTGAGTTGTCTCGATATAAGAGAAACAGTTATTAATAATTTAAATTTCTTTAATTTACAAAATCGATTACTGAGGAATTTTTGAATACAAATGAAAAAAAATTAAATCTACTTTTTTGGATTTGATATTTTTGAAAAATTATATTTCGATAATCTAACAGATTTTTTTAATGACTATTACACTTTTTGTAAAAAATTTAAAAATACCAGCATATTATTGCAGGTAATAAGAGCATCAGAATAAAATTGTATTGATAAAAGTACACTGAACTCTCAATATTTATAGTGATAAATTAAAAATTACGACCACTTTTGAAACAATACGCAATCGAACATGGATTGCTGATTATACTTGTAAAAGAGACGGCATTTTTACTAAAGGCTAAATATTTTAAGTTGTCAGTTTGATTGATGAATTGGTCCAGCATTATCAGCCAAACATGAGTAATCATTAAAAGCATTTATTAAAATCAATCATAAAAGCATTTGTTGTTTCCATTAGAAAAGGTCATAAAAGTATTTGTTTCCAAAAATTTAAGCAACTATTAAATCATTAGTTATGTTTCCTTTAAATTCTTTATTACTTAACGTAATGGAATTTTATGGGTTTCCTGATTTCAGTTTGAAATCGACTCATTTAGTATGAGCACTCAAAAATGAAAACAGTTATTTTGTATTTTATAGACCATAATCTTCAGTTCTACCCAAATCCGTCATATTGCTTAAAGATTCAGTTTTTTAATGAAAAATTAATATACTTCTAAACAAAGGTCAGAATCGTTTACAAAAAAGATTCCATATCTAATAACTTTCGTAGCAATAAGCATAACCTTTTAGAATGGTATGTCTTCTTATAAGAAAGAAAAAGAGCAGGGTCATAGGAGCACAAGATGCTCCAGTAATGTTTTTATACCTTTTATCAGGATTTTTTTATATCTTCTCAGGAGTAGTTTAAGCCATTTTTTAATTCATTCGCCAACGGTTTTGCTGATTTTAGCAGAATACAGCTAATTTCGTCTCTTGTAACATAAATTTTGTATATCATCCGTATGCTGTAAGCCTGAATAAAAATATCAAGGTATATCTAAAATTTTCAAAGCAGCCACAATCCCTGCAAGAAGTGTTAGAAGAATTTTTAGTTTGGTATTATAAATACGTATGACTAATTTTGCACAGTTTTTCTGAAAAAAAAGCTTCTAATGCATTCTACAAAAAATAATTCCTTAAAAACTTTGGCCGTTAAGTTTTAGATGAGGATCTGATGTCCTGTATTATGAATATGTAATGCTAATTTTACTCAGTTTTTCCGGAGGAACTACTAAATCATTCTACAAAAAATAACTCCCTTAAAATGTTTGTTGCTAATTTTTAAATGAGGATCGATGTATGAAGGATTTTATGCTCAACATTATGAATATGAATGGTTAACTTCATGAATTTTTTTCTGAATAAAAAACTACTAAATAATTTTTTTCTTCAAAAAAGCAACTCCTTTAAAAATTTATTCTTTATTTTTTTAACGTTTAAATTCATTTTTTTAAAAAATTATTGCGTTTTTAATTTTAATTTAAAATGTAGATTTTTTTATTCAAAAAAATCATTATGTCAATGTGTTATGTCAATACAAGATTTAAGCAAAAAATTGATTGAATATTTTATCCGAAAAATGGAATCAAAATTTGATGATTTTAACACGGACAAGCTATTGAAAAATTCCTCCCAAAAAACTTTCTTAAAAATCAGTAACACAAAACTTTAAGACAGTTATTATAAAGAATGGTCATGAATTAACATTTTGCAGACACATGCACTATAATGTTACATCCGTTGCATAAAGTTTAAAAATTAAACTAAGACCTCCTCATTCTTTAATGAGAAGTTTTCGAAAAGTAACAAAACAACTTACCCTTTCGATGAATTTTTTCATTTTTTATTATTTTCGTTTGTAAGAAATGAAAATTACCCTGTAATTCATGCAACTAGAGATAAAACTTTGTATCATTAAACTCATGCAATTTAAATGAAGTCATTAACAACTTCACGATTGAAGAAAGCGAAAGCTCAATTCTTACGATAATTTGTCAGGATCAGAATCTTTAAAACCTCTTTTCTCTACATTATTGATCCCAGTATTACTAACGCTAACCCAAATTCTTATTGTTAACAGAACTCACGAAATGTTAATTATTTCAGAAGTATTTTGACGCAATAAAACTTTCAAATTTCTAAGGGAAAGAATGAAGTTTGTCCTTCTAATCAAGAAACTATTGAGTTTCTTAGTGTTTTAAATTAATAACACCACGAAACAGTTTGTTTACTACGCCATTTTTAGTTCGATATACAAACTTAAGAGGTTATACTACGTGTATTGGGTTTCTTGATTTATAGGTTGGTCCAAGACGTCTCTTTCCTTACTGTGTCTTACCGATATCACGTTTTCAGCAACTGTGTAGAGGAGACTGTTAAACATTATTCTAATGCGTTCCTGACTGGCAGTTTTGAAATTCTTTTGAACACAACTTTGTTAAATCTTCGTGCAGATAGTTTCAAGCTGCCTTGAAGGGTGAAGGGGATATTAGGGGAACCGTGAAGGG